CCCCAAAACCCCAAAACCCCAAAACCCCAAAACCCCAAAACCCCAAAACCCCGTATTGGCGTGTATTTATAGAATAATTTAACAAATATGATCAATAAAAATCTAATCAAGCGTCTCTCGCACCCTTCCGAAAGAGAAGTCAGAGATCAAGCCTTTATGGAGCTTGAGGAGATGATCCAAGATAACAAGATTCAGTTTGATGATCTTGAACTAAAGGCAATCTTTGAAGGCATCTTCTGGTGTCTTTGGTTTGCTGATAAGCCTGCCTACGTAGACGACCTTCTGAGTAGAATTGTGCAATTCACAAATGATATCGAGAATGAGAAGCATAAATTGATGTGGATTAAAAGCTTCTTCAAATCTCTCACTGCTCATTGTAAGAATGCCGTGTTTATTAATCTTCTATAGTTGGAAGTCATGATATGAACGATTTGATGAGGCTTCTCAGAATGCAGCTCGGATGCATTTTCAAACACTGAATTGTAAGATAGCTTAACAAGGCCTTAAGGATTTCATATAAGGATATAGTAAACGCTCTCATTTTTAGGACATGTATTTTCTCTTATGGTTTAGAGCCCATACTTTTTATTCTATCAAGATATTTAGCTCAGTTGTATTTATTAAAAATTCAACAATTATAAGGTTTTGGTTGGTAAGTTCCTTCTTGTTGATCCTTTAGATCGTTCTCATATCTTGACAGTTCTAAACTAGCATAGATATCCGGAGGCTTATTAGTAGGGTTAATAAGCTGTAATGCTTATTATTATTTATCAAATAATATTTCCCTGTTAATGAAGGTTAAAAATGTCTTAATTTTTCTAAATTTGCTCCAGGCCACTATAATCTCGTTTACTCAAAAACCAAGCAATCTTTAAATTCTACAAAGTAAAATTTAGGAACCCTTATCTTGCAGAATGATGCCTGCTTCATGAACTTGGAAAGCAGTGTCATCTGAATTTTTTAGTTGCGTTTAAGTAGACTTTGTACATAAATTTTCTCAGAATAGTCTTTAATATAAATATAGCAATCAAAGAAGATTAAGAAATATCTAAAAATAATTTTCACAGAGACTCTTAGCAACGAAAACTCATCTGTGGAGGTAGGAATGCATATTGCTGATATCTACCTTGAAGAATTGATCAATAACTTCGATCAAGAAAAACTTACTCACAAGCAATTGACTATTTTATTGAACCCATTCCTTGAATGTTTAGAGAAAACCACTCAGTCAACTCTTTTCAGGAGGGTTAAGGAAAAGGTGTTTGAACAACTCATCGAAAAGGCTACTGAGTCTGAAAACTATTTCCCCATGTTCAACGTTAAGAAATACGGAGAAGAAATCATCTTCCCTGTGGCATCTGGTGAATCCACTCTTGAATCTAGAAGAGATGGCATCTATGAACTTTATGACAAAGCTATTGGAAAACAAAAAGAAGATGAGGAAGAACTTTCTTATGCTCAAAGACTGGAGCAAATTCAAATGGCAGCCATGAGTAATCTCCAGGTTCATACCAAGCACCAGAAGAAGAAATTAATCCGTGAGAAGGTCAAGAAGGCTAATAAAATTAAAAAGAGGATCATTAAAATGATTAGAAAACAGCAAGAAGAGGTGCTCTCTAAGACTTCAGAGGATAAAGCGGCTGCTTCTACTCCTAAAGTAGTAGATTCTTCTGCTGTTGAAGAGTCTAAGAGCACTCCAGCTCCCTCTGCTACAGCTGTTCAAGAAGATACTGTTGTTGAACTCACAAAGAAGGCAACCAAGAAGAGAAAGAAGCCTAAGGTCAAGGAAGATAAAAAGAAATCTGGCAGAAAAGTCCTGTTTAAACTTGAGAAAAATGAAATATTCAATTTTTAAAGTGTGTATTGGGGTTTTGGGGTTTTGGGGTTTTGGGGTTTTGGGG